TGCCGCGACGCGACTCGGGCACTGACCCTCGGCGAAGGTCAGCTCTCAGTTCTATTATTCTGGGTTTTCTTACCTCAATAATATGAACTCAATTGTACGGGGTTAACCAAGGTTTTCCATAGTTGTTGACTATAGTCAGGTACCTACGACCGACTGTGCCGAGTGACCGCAGAGTCGGGCTCGCCAAGGGACATAAGCAGTAACAGTGTAGACAGCTGTTCACTACAGGAGGCCTGCACTGGTGCCGGCGCTATCGCCAGCCCCAGTCTCCACGCATTTTCAGGCAGCTCTAGCGTATGCATATTAAGTCGCAGACAAATTGCCTTACTTTGATCCTAGTAGGAGGGTCCTGTCCTCCTCCAGTGTTGCGACCCCTTGTAGGTCGCTAGCTAGCTATCGTCTATAGGTCACCAGCAAGCCCTGTTGTAGTGCCTGTGCACTACAGTAAGCATATTGTTGGCTTGCTAGCGTGAAGTTCGCCCCCTTGCCTTCTGTGGCACTTTGTCTTATTCACTTGCCTTTTGTGTTCTCGTCATTGGTAGATAGTACCAGCTACTATTCACGCAGATTCGTACTTATTGTATTTAAAGTACCAGGCCACCTAATGGTTCGTTAGCAAATATACGGTATAGTCCCCTCAACGGCATCAACGCTGTATGAAACGCTCGCAGTAGACATCGAAACAGTGACCTATAAGGCCCTGTGTGTAAGGCGGCTTTGAGTTGATGAGACAGCAGTCAGTGAAGAGAGTGCGAAATTCTCCGCCAGGCATTCATTCCCACAGAATGAAGGCAATCCCAACTCCAGACCGCCCACTTGTAACTGCTCTCTAAAGCCAGTAGACAGAAGGCAGAGTTATGTAGACTGGGCAGTCTCAGTCGCAGTTGCTCAACTGTGATCCGGCTTATAGAACTGCGCGACGCTACTGTGTTCTGAAGCGTTTCACAGCTATGCCCAATTATCTCACAAGCGAGCAGTGCTGTCTTTGCCATGCTGCACGGTAACCCTTTGCCGTCCAATTGCAGTTTCATATGTAGTTCCTCACACCTGCACTGCTGCGTAGCTTCCAGTTCATCATTACCAAAACGCACCGCACTAATGCTTCATATAAGCAAAAACCAGCTGGATATGCGCGATATATTAGAACCTTCAGTGATTACTTGCATGGCTTGTCAGCGAGTTCTAGCAGTCTTCGGTCAGGTAATGAGCTGTAGCTGCATTATGCGGCTCTTCACAGGATGAGGGTTGACGCAGGAATTGTGTCACACTGTCCCATTTACAGTGCAGCTATGCGGCAAAAAGCTGTGTGCAGAAGTCAAACGATGGGTGTGCCGCACAACTTGACGAAAACGACTCCAACCCGTGCTTCTACCCTCCGGCGTTCGCGCCATTGCATTCCACGCCCAGTACCAGGACGTTCATTGTCTAATGCCTAATCAGTGCATGGCTGATAGGAGCTTTTTGTCACCTAAGTAAGGTCGGTTTAGACAGTGCATTTAATGAACCGCTATTTCAGACCTGGCGTAAATTCCCGCGAATCGTAGCTTAACGTAGTAGATAAGAGGAGCAACATAAAGGAATCAATGCTATCAAGGTCCCTGCAGGTGGTTTTTCTTCCCTATACATGCATTACAAAGAAGCGTTTGCTTATACAAGGGTGTGCCTCTCGATTCGGACCTGAGCGTTCTAGTTGGGAGTTTCACGAATCTGGTCACATTGACTAGCAGAAGTAGGGTCCTCGGAGCAGCAACGGGCGACCCGCGACCGATTTGATTCGTTGGAGTTACAACTAAAAGCTCCCACAAGTTTTGTTCGAGGAGCTCGCAACTCCTTCCAGGCTTGCTTCCGGCTGATTTAGCTTTGCTGAAGTACCTTATGAAGTTTAAGGGATCCATTACGCTTCAGCGAAAGGATATGATAGTTCCAAACCCTTATGGGCATACGGATCAAAGAACCAGTGTCCTTCTGTTGCCTGCATATGTGGTTACCAAATCTGGCAGTTAAAACTGGAAAGAAGCATACAAGCTTCTAAAATGCACCACCGTTGTTCTAAAAGAGTGTCAGATCGGTGTCTAAATCATTGATATCCCCCGCCCCTACTGATTCGACCTTGATGGCATGACTGCCACAAATAGCCAACAACACTCGTAGTAAAGACCACCTTCTTGAGGGGCGAAAATTTGTCGTATATGAGCTCCTGCTGGTTAGTCCATACTGTAGAGCAAGTGGCAGCGAACTACGCGCTCTACGAAAATCCTGTAATTTTGCCAAGCACGTGGCCCCCGTAGGAGGACATCGCGACAGAAGCAGAAGCCCCCGCACGCGCCAATCTGAGTGCAGGCGATGACGATAGATCCACTAAAAACCAACGTTTAACAATGATGAACCCAGGGGCCTACAAAGCATGCTACGCAGATACTGATGCTCACGATTTTTATAGTGTCTCAGATTGGACTGGCTTGTCGGAGCTATAAGCTTTTATCTGACGTTCTGTAGAGGAAAACCCTTGGCCCTTAATCTTTCTTAATTCCTTTTCATATGGTAGAGTGGCTTTGTGCATTGGGCTCTGTGTAGTGGAGTAATCAATCAGGCCCTTGCATCACAACCATCACCTTACAATTGAATAACGCAAAATAAGAAAGAATTGAACGCTCAAAATGTTCGGTCTAGTCTCTCCAGCGGCGTTCCAACCAGCCCCTCGCAATCTACAGGGACAACTGGTGAGAGGCAATTGCCGCTTCTCGCGCTGGTCCTTTGCAGCGTGAAGGAAGGATCCACATTATACTTGCATAATAGTCCTCAGAAACGCTTCATCTTCTAGTGAGCAAAAGCAAGCCTTCTTACGCATATGGCAAGCAGTGAGCAACCACGCCACCAAACGCAAGCTTCCCGCAGTAAGCGTGTTTTGATTTCCTCGACCAGCTTCTGCCACGAAGTAAGTGTAAGTGTTCATTTTACGGACAACACTTCCCGGTTGCACTTAGCAGTTTCAGCATTATATGGCAGTTAAGAACATCGATTTCGCTCACAAGCGGCAGCGTGGGGTTCGGGGCTGCCGAAGTAGACAGACCGCTACCATGATGTAAGCTGCGGGGCCAGCAATGGGAACCCCGAAGGACGATCCTGTGGAGAGATGAAAAGAGTACTTTTTCGTTGCTACTCCTCGCGTCGTTTTAATCTTTAGGCAGAGCAAAATGGTGCGTCTTACTCGCTTCAGCCAGAAGTGAATGTTCACCCCATGTACTTTCATTCACAAGTACTGTGCTCCCAGTGCCGTACTAGTGCCATGTTGCCTACTTACATGATGTGTTTTTGACCGTCTTTCATTGTGTTGCATGACTTGAATAATATCTCTGCCTTTTGGAATGCAGGATAGCTCATTTGTAGCACCACAGCAGCGGCAGTCTTGCTATCAGCCCCAACTGTGCTTGACCACAAGACAGTGGTAACGTCGACTGTGTAGATCCTCGAACCTTGGCAGTGTCTCTTGTCATCATGCTATGTTAGAGGCATCTACCGCCGTTCGTTTTGCCAAGTCGTTTCCAACAGCTCCCGTGCCATACTCCGCTTAAAAGGCGTTTGTGCCTTTAAGAACTTGGTGAACGCAGCGGCCTGTTGGACTTGAATGTTCAGTGTCTGAATTTATCTTGTAAGAATTCAGTCCAGTGGCTCCAGTTTGCATGAATGGGGAGAGTGGATAGGTTTTGGTGCTCAGGCAGAGGACGCATCGGTTCCCCGGAAGAGAACGTTCCGTACGTTCTCCTACCGCGGCGTCGACTTGGAGAAGTTGGTAACTCTCCCTCTAGATAAGCTAGTGGATCTGTTCCGCGCCCGCCAACGCCGCAAATTCAGCCGTGGCATCAACCAGAAGGCGTTACCCCTCATGAACAAGCTCAGGAATGCCAAAAAAGACCTGCCGTACGGAGAGAAGCCACCGCCCGTCAATACACACTTGCGCAATGTCGTCGTTGTGCCGGAGATGATAGGTTCAATTGTTGGAGTGTACAACGGAAAGCAATTCATCAACGTTGAGATCAAGGTATGGCCTTTTGAATGTACAGCCAACAAGCTCCTGCCGACCATCGCTTGCCCTACCTGAAAGCTGATAAAATGCTTGCTCTAAATATCTAGGCACGCAGCGCCACCGAGCAATGGAAGTGGTTTTGCGTGTCTGTTCGTGCTCTGCAGCCGGAGATGGTGGGTTACTACCTTGGGGAGTTCTCAATTAGCTACAAGCCTGTTCGCCATGGTAAACCGGGCATTGGCGCCACACATTCATCTCGTTTCATTCCACTGAAATAAAGCACTGGCTGCAAGAGCAGCGACTCACTGCGCCGTGTCGCAGACCTCGTTTTCAAGCAACTCCTGGGGGGCGTCTTAGTGTTGTTTTTTGGGGCGACCTGCTACTGCCTAACAAACTCGCGTTAGTCACTAAACAGAACATAGGAAATTGCGACTCAGCAGGATACTCGCCGTGGGTTAGGTAGCGGCACTATAGCATATGTACTCGTAGTTGCTGGTGTGAGCCCAGCTCCCCCTCCGGTACAATTCATAACCCAGTAGTCAAAGCTTAAGTGGCGACGCTGTTGCACCACTGTCGCACCAAGGTCAAAGTGGTGCTGGCTGGCGGGAAATTTGAGCTCAGCACAGGCTTTTCTGACAAACCACGCACTACGTTGGCAGGGCAGGGCTAAAATATCCCGTTTTCAGCTTCGGTGCCCCGCAGCTTCCTCTCCTGTGACTCGGTCTGCACACAGCATCGTGACATGCGACAGACCGCCACTGCAGGGCCAGCTCCGGGCATCACGCGGGCACTTGAGCGGGGGCACACGCAAGCACGCCTGGGCGACATAATGGGGATTATGGTTCACGCCTAAGCGACTCACCCACGCTTTCGCTATTGTCCTTTTCATTTCACTGTCACCCTGGAGTCGCACAACGTTTTGGAATTTAGAGCCCGTAAAACAAAGCGGAGGCGATGCCTCTTTGGCCCTGCCTGGCTGCCACACGCATGCACGCAATTCTAGTTACAGCTGGCAGGACAATGGCTCACTTGATTGTAAAGATTCTTCATCATGCTCATGATTGACTGTGACGGATCGGCGGATGGATCAATCTTGGGAACTGGATTTAGCTGTGCCGCTTTCGTAATGGTGTCCCAATGTTCTCCTGGGCGACGCTGCAATTGCGGAAACAATGCAGGCAATGGACTTCTGCACATAGGTGGAGCCTGAAAATGCGTGCGGCTATAGTTCTCCCTAGGGAGTGAAGCTACTCATGGTTGCTCGGGTGACTCTGAGCATCATAGCACTCAATGCAACGTTCCCATGCCTTAGCTAAGCGCAGCGTTGCCGTGTCGCGTTTCCTCGAAAAGCTTGACTCTAAAGCGCACAAAACAATCACAGCGTAAGCATGCCACAAGCAAAATGCAACAGCATTTAGCGGCGAATACGTTCGTGTGCCACTAGAGTTGTGGTGAGAGAGGCATCCGCACGATAGATACGTAAATGAGCGCGACTGTGCGAGATAAGGAGCATGGTCTAGTAGAGGAGAAACTGCCTTAACCCGGAAGACTTACTCTCAACGTCAATTGGACCGTAGAGAGAACATAGTTTGAGAATATAGTTTTTATGTCGCAAATTTTGCACCTGTGGCCATGAACGCACAGTCGAAATGTCAAAATGGGGCAGGAGGCTACGAACAGTCACATCTTTGCTCTTGTCTTGCTTTCACAAACTGTTTAGACGAACATACCACAAGCTGGGCGCTAGTTTCCTCAAAGTGAGCAGACGTTGCCTCCTCAGGAAGACTCTCTAGGCCATCCAGTTGTACATAAACCCTAGAAAAAAACACACTCGCCAATGATCTGTATATAAATGAGCAGCTTTTGTTCTGGAATTCTGCCTCCTGCTAGCAGCTGTGCATGCTTGCAAATTCCGCCAAATGGTTAATTTCAGAAAAGACTCACTTAACTAAGTCTCTCGTCTGATCCCAAGCAAACCTATCGATTGTATTAAAGACCTTCACGCATGCATATGGAGAGGAAGACACACGCTGGTTCTTCGGCAAACAAAGAGAAGCAGCGTATACCTCCTGCAGGAGAGGACCGATACTGGGGAGAGCGTGTACGCGCTTGCTCTTTTACACAATTACGTAAACTAACCTCTGCCGTAGGAGTTACTTGAGATGCGCACTTATTTAGCCGTTCTGCCTACACAGAGCAAAGCAGAAAGGGAAACACGGGTAAGCAAAGGGGTCCCGCGGCGGAGTGAGTCCGCAACTAGGTAGCTGCCATTCCGTTCGAGCTTTGATACTTCTACAGATTTACCTCCTCGATCTGGTCCCGCAGTCGTTGGCAATGAGCGCTTAAAAAGCTCTTCACAGAGGGCCTTTTGGCTAACTTTAAGAATGCTTCGAACTCTTCCAGGTCGCAGCGTAAGGCCTCCGTACTTTCCATTGTAAGCCTTCTATCTTTAAAACTGATCCCTCGCGTACACTGTTCGTGTATATACTGAACTTTTTCGTACACCACCGAGGCGGCCGTTTTGACTACGTGGAAAGGTTGCCCAATCCGCTGCAGTTTTGTGTCTACCGGCCACGACCCAGTCCAGCCCGTTCAGAAATACACCTAATCCACAGCTCTCATGCAAAGAAGAAGATGCAGAGCACGTTCGCCCTTGTGACTCCTGTCGATGTCCCAGCAAGGCACACTGTACTACGTTGGGACTGTAAAGCTGCGCGCAGAGGCAAAAACACGGACTTCCGTGACGATTATTAATCCAATAACCAAGAAAAAAATGTGCACTTGGAGGCGGTCCCTGGTCAAGCATGGCATGGAATATTGTTCTTTTGTGCCTGAATTCAAGCACTGGTGTACTGGCTCATGGGGGGGCTCCAATTTACAACGTAAGCACCGGTGCAGGCAGAAGGCTGCCCCACACAGTTTTCCAATTGTTTCTAGTTATATAATTTTTTAGATATATACAAGTAGGTAAAAAGGTGTATAAGATGGTAAAGTTGGCACTTCAGCTAAGCATGACTCTCTACACGAAGTGCAGTGCTGCGTGTCCTGGCTGCCCACGCAAAAGTTTGCTCATTTTGTGTGTAAATTGATATTGGTTAGTGCCATAGAAATGTGAACTCTTCACAACATAGAGTGCTACTGCCGTTCGATGAGTGGAACACCGATGTTAGCCGTTGAGGCCTGCGTAAGTCTCAACGTAGCTGTTGAGATGGGCTGAAAACCTCTAAGCCTTCTCTCCTGCAACAGCCTCAGTGCCACCGCGGAAGCGAAAAATACTTCCTGCCGCAGTGCGTACTAGTAACTCAGTATATGAACGGACTTTTCAGTATGCCTCCCTATGCTCTGATGTATATATCAACGAGGGTTTGGGGGTCCTGCGGGTCCGAAATACTGCCTTGCATAATAACACTCACAGCTTCATAACCACAGCCACAAGCGCAAACACAATGCTGCAGTATGCCCAGAAGAACACTGTCAGTCTTTCGCCTTCGCTGATTCCACTCCACGTGCTAGTAACCCATCCACACACAACGCGATTGCGATCTCAACGTATGCTAGGTATAACAGCGATCATGGAGCAGTGAGGGGGTTCACTAGCGAATAGTTCTTCTTTTGGAATTACCGCCACAGAGGAAGTTAAGTATTTCCCCGTCCAGCAAAAAACGTTACTTAAGGTCTTAAAAGAAAAAAGTGCAACGAAATCCTAAATCAACCGGCCAGAGTACCAGGAAGGCTTGCCGAAGATTTTCGTTGTGTTGAGTGACAGAAATCCGCACAGTTTTTGAGCCATTACTGATGCTAATTGTGCTGTTTGTGGCGCTGTTCTAATCTGACGTTCTCCTTGGCTCTCGATACCCAACACTGCAGACCAATCAGGACTGGACGAAATTAAGGGGAGCCTTTTAGGAAAGTGCAGTGGCCACGGCTAGTTGTGAGAGCCTGTCATCGATGGAAAGCAGAACGGAGGGTACCAACGTCAGCAAAACAGTGCAGCGGTGAAAATTTGGGGCTCACGGCTCATTTACGAGCCTGCACTTCAGCCCAGAAATTATTTATGAGTACCACAGAAGCATTTGGCGCGGTGCCTGAATTTCGTTCGTGCTCAGTGCCTTACAGTAAAGGTTCACTGGCGAGACTGCTCATGGCCGTTGCCAAATGCAAAGGTACTTCAGAGCTGCTCACCATCCGCTTGGCCTTACGACGCGTTGCATTGAGTATTAGCATCTTAAACAACGCCACTCTAATAAGAAGCCAGTGCTATACATCAAATCCGTTCTTCCCTTCAGTGCTGTAGAGTAATTACCCCACCGAGGGCGGGCGCGCTTAGTGCGTCAAAGCCTAAAAGGTTCCTTAAAGTACAATTATCTTCCCTCATGGTGCCTAGCTAGCCCCACCTTGCTTTTTCGTGGGTTTTCAGTGATGCCTCACAACGAAGCGTTCTTGCCAAGCCTCCACCAGCCCCAGGTATTGCTTTTCGGGTGCGTATTGCAGAGTCCGGAGTCCCCTCCATGGCTGCATCCAAGAGCCTCTGTTCCGGTTTCCCAGAAGAATCCCAAATTATGCGCTGCGCGGAAAGTTGCAGAAAGGTTAGGCAAATCTGCTATGAGCCTTTGAACTCCTTCCCTAGAATAAATTAATATTCAGTGGCTCGAGCACTTTCAGACTTAGGAGTTGGGCGGAAATCGTCGGGTAGAGCCAACTGGCTCCAATGCTGCCCATCTTCCGGGGCCCCTTGCAACCGAAGGGCTCAGTCAATCAAACTCGAAAATGGGAGCAAGTGACCAGATGCAGCACCTTTCTAGCTGCCAGCTAACGATTTCTTCTTAAATGTGCCACCATGCTGCACTCGCTTCACAGGAATTGTCGACCGTAGCAGCTGTGAGCCACTTGAGCTCTTTCTGTACGACACGCCGAAAATCCTATACGCCATTACATTTGCCGTGAATCTTAGAGAAGAGCCTTGCTTTCTGCCAAAGAATACTGCTAGTGGTCGAAGGCTTTGCTAGGCACAAGGCTAAGGTGCAGCACAGCAAGTCAGGCTCTTAACTTTTCAGCTTGCTAGTTCCACAGGAAGACAAGAAACAAGAAAAGCTCTATAAGGTGGCTCTAATTAGTTCATTCACTTTTGAACACCAGTAAGAGATAAAGAGTTGAAACTTCTTGTTCTCTCAACTGCGCGTCGCGGTGGCGCAGCCTTATTAGGCCCCTTCGGTACTTCTACAGCGCACAGCTGGAAAATAGCACTTCATGAATCCATTAATACAGCGACGATTTTTATCAATATTATGCGTGCACAACTAAAGGTTAATTATTCACTTCTGACCTGCCGTCAACTCAGCCAAATGTTGTGATGTACCTACACGCATGCAAACCAGCCGAGAGAATACAGAACTCGTACTGGGCAGGCTCCGTCTAACCCCTGCATGGTTTGCCCTGTTGCTACCTAAGTACTTTCACACCCACATAAGATAACCCAAATAGACCAGGTAAAATGCAAAGGATTCAAGTCCGTTTCTCTTCTAGCCTCTCCGACGCCTTCGGTGTCCCTAGGTATGTGTGTACCTCCACGCTGCAGGTGACACAGCTAGCCACAGTCCCAGTCCCTGGTCTTTTAGCCAAACTCCCTAGGCTAGGTGTGCGGCAAGAATTAAGTTTCTCTACCTACGAACTTTGTGATAATGCTTCATGCGTAAAATATAAATGTTAGAGCCTTATGGGCTTATGGGCTTGTACTTTTGCGACTACGTAGTGCTACGCACTGAAGAGTCTCTTTGAAACCTGGAAGAGAATTATAGAGCTGGCGTTGTACGGAACACGCCAGGCCCTCCTGTACATATCCGTTGCCGTAACATCGGTGATTCTGCAACTGCTTGGATGATTATGGAGTCACCATCTACGAGCGAAGGTGTAGTGTGCGGGCATTACAGTGGCTCCCGAGTGACTCTATAGTGTGCCTAAGTGGCCTATCCCTTGGAATAAACACGATATAATGTAGAATTAGTATTAAACCAGGTCAATTATGCAGGAGATAGGGCCAACAGGCCATGGACGCCAACAGGCTATGAGCGCCAACTCGCTGTGAGCGCCGACCGGCTATGAGCGCCAGCCGGCCGTGAGATCCAAATGCGCACTAGGGTTTTGGAGCTGAATGAGCTGCCGAGACACCGACCAACCTTAAGAAGTCAAAGTTAGGCGGAGACACAGTCTTCCTTTCATGGACCAAAAAGGACGTGGAACATGACTTCAGGCCAATTAAATGGATTCAACGAGTGAAAGCTTGCACCCCCAGAGGGCCCTCCAGTGGGCCCCCTTGGGTGAGATTTCTAGGGAGGCCTACTTTGCAGAAGTATGAATATGCTGGCTGCCACGAGCACGCATCTGGGTGCGTAGCCGCCCCTATGGTTTAGGGCGTAGGGTTTGGTGTTTAGGCTTTGGAGGCTAGGCTTTGGGACTGTAGTGCTCAAATGGTGAAGATGAAAAGCCCCTGTGACTCCAACGGCCTAGGGTTTAGGGCTTAGGGGGTTTGGGGCTTGGGTTGCTATTTATCTACATGCAAGTTGCAAGCTCAGAGTAGACCGGCTAGATTGAGGCTTTGCAAGGGTTTAGGGTTTGATGGGAAAAGAAGTAAAATGCCTAGGCAACTGATAACAAAACGCATGCTAAGGGGAATCAAACAAAGAAGAGAGAGGAGAGAAAAAAATAATGCACTATGCAGAGGCGTGACTATAACTTGTGAGCATTAGAAATGACCCATAGTCCAGTGGCCTAAGAAAATTCGAGCTAGAATCTAGGTTTGACTACACCTGAACTAGAGCAAAAAGGGAAAAAGCGCCACGCAAGTGAAATTAAGACTTAACACACACAATCTATATTCATGGCTTTGTCACGTAGTAAGAAAAAATGCATACCTACACTGAAAGACTGGTCTTAACGCGGGAGCAACCAGCAGCAGCGCGAGCCAGGGGTGCAACGCAAGGCAGAGCACCTTCTGTACCTGCCCCAGAAGAGGCTGTAAATAGGGAAAACGACTCTGAAGCAGCCTGTTACAGACACAGCAACAGAGAGATAGCTGGAATGTAATGCGGCTGCGGCGGCAACAGCAAAGCTCCAGCCTCGAGTAGATATGAGGCACTGCAACTTAAGGCTGCAGTGGACGAAGAAAAACGCCTAAAAGCTCCTTTCAGTGACAGAAGAAGCATTTTGAGGACGCTTAAAGCTGTAGTGCATAGCATTGCCATGCAGGTTGGGAATGGTCTCCTGGGTCATGTATTTTAGAACATGTAGGTTGGTATAGCAGCTATAAATAGTTGCCCTGCGGAATAAGTTCAGTATCGGGCGATCGGGCACATTGTGCTGTATAATTAGGCTTCGCGTTTGCTGCTGGCAAAATGCCTGATGCTGCACTGTAGTAAGGCCACGGATGGAGGGAGAGACCGGGAAGAGACAGATGCCTCTCTTCGGAAATTAAACGTAGAATAACAATATTTGGATTTTTTCAGTATGTAATTGGTGCCATCAACAAATAGTCTTACGGATGAATCTATGTCGCCAGAAAAACGGGCACAAGAAAGAGCCAAGCTGCGCTTAGCTCGCTACCGAGCAGATGCCAGGCAGACGGCGCAATGGCGTTCTGTGAAGGTGCGTGCAGCTGGCATCCGCGCTTTTGCATACTTCGAGAAGGCTACCTAGCAGCTGATGCGCATGAATATTATGGGCGTCTTTGTTGGGATAGCGGGATTTTGTTTTTTCCCGTACTTGCTACGTGGCATGCCGTTCCACTCCCTAGCTGGCGTCCGCGAGAAGTGTTTTGACAAGGGGACGACTGCGGAAAGCTTGCGCTAACAGCAGCTCGTTTTACAAGTGAAACAAACACAACAATCCCGTTAAGCGCATTGTGTCATCTCATTCCTAGGGTTTTTCACTTTGATGGGTCGATTTGTTTCTTTCGTCATGAGCGTCCTTACCGGAGCGCTGAGGAGACTGAAACTTACGCAGTGAAATAATTTGCAGGGTGATTTTCAAATACTCATATTCAAGGTCATCTGCAGTACTAAATGGACACCCTGTTACAAAATAGCGCAACGTCTTCCGTCTTCTTGCCCATCAAAGTCCAACCTTTCGCTTGAGTCCTACCGCTTTCCTTCTGAGTTTCTGAAGACAGCTTAGAGAATCGTAACTGTGCGACAGGGCACGACAAAGGGTTTTGTAGCAGTTCTACTGAACCGTCAAGCCCAGTGTTACAAACCGAGCACAGTACGGAAATGTAACAGCAACTCAAAATCCCAGTGTAATCCTATGGCAGTTGTAGCTACCGCCATCTGTACGCTTCCGCGTGACCCTCCAGAATAAGCAAAAATGCATTACGTCCGCCTCTGGAGAATCCTGAATATAAATGAGACTGCCTCCATACATTCAAGTTAGGACCTGCTCTATCCATAGGGCCTCAAGGCTTGCTCAAGCCACTGACCACTACATACTACCCTTGGACACTTGAACGAACAGAAAAAGCAAGAGATCCTTACCCTAAAATCTCTCAATTGTTCTTTTTAGCGCGAAATCTGACCAGTCTACGCAAGTTCTCCGCTTTTTATAGTGTCCAGCACTGCAGTGGCTGTGGCTGGGCTGATGCAAGGCTGCATGGCATGCTGCAATGAGTATTTTTGGTGTTCGTCCACTTTATTAGGCCATTTATATGACTGAAATGGCGAAGGTACTCTGTTTGGACCGGCGATAATCCTCTCGCGAGATCACTTTCATTCCCTCTTGGGGGGCCCCACAAGTCGATCCCTTTCCCTGTAACCCTTATATTCCTACCCCGCTCGTTTTGTTCTGAAGGAAATTGTCATCAAAGTACCGCCAAATTGCAAAGTTGCAACTTTGAACCTGGGCAAACGAACAGGGCCGAGCCAGTGGCCCTGTGCAGCATGCGGGGTGCTGCGGCTTCACGTCCTACTTTGCATATCTGTTGCGCCATCAGCTACTTTTGCACTTTCAGGAGGCTCCTGTTAGTCTCTGCATGGCTCACTTCCTGCTAGTGCTGTGCTTCTGGGGTCAACCAAGAAGTAGCCGGTCAGAGCCGGTCACAACATTTTGTCGCTGGAAGACCAACAGTTGATTTCCTCGACGGACTGCACAAAGAAGACGAAGACTAGAAAAGCCACATGAGTGGCCTGCCCTGTTGGGCAGCTGCGCTTATACGCTGGTGGTTCCAGATGCAGACATGGCGTGGAACAACGGTGCCCCCAAAGAGGCAGTTTCTGGGGAGGGTCAATCCACACCCTCTCCCTCCCCAGGTTTGTCTAAGGCAGAAGCTGCAGGAGCTGTTGGTTCTATGGTTCACGTTGAGCAGCCACTAGGTGCTCTAGATGGCACGTACAAGGAGGTGTTCGGCATGCAGTCGCCGCCTCGAGGTGGAATAAGGAAAGCTTCAGCAGCTCCGTCCCCAGGCGCAACGGCAGATTGGCAGGCCCAGCAGGTGTATAATTTTGAAGTTCCCTATGCGCTTCAGCCGTTTATGAGGGAGGGGCCTCACGGGGGTTTTGCTCCTGCCCGTGTTTACGACACTCCTCTGCAGTCACAGATGCGGGGCAGACAAGGCTCTATCACTGGAGGGAGCGCCACGAAGTGGTGGCTACTTATGCTTATGACCCTTAATACTCTTGCCTCGTGCTGGGGGCTGTGGGAATTGCGGCAAAGAACAGCCCAAGTGATTCACGCGCAGGAAGTGGCCTTGGGAGATCTGACGGAGACGATTAGAAGCCGCTTGCTCCCTGTTTTTGATCATGGATTTTTCCCAGAGTTGCTGTCCCCTCCACCTATGGAATCCTTGACAAGGCAACTCTTTTATGAATGGGCTGGGGCAAAGGAAGAGCCCGGCGTGGCGCAGCAAGAAGAGGTGACCACTAAAAAAGGAAAGCCTCCAAGGTTGCCTCTTCAGGGGGGGGCAGTTGAACCGACTAGACATAAGAGATCAACACTGCTACCTGACTTCTTGCTAAGTCCAACTATTGCTTCAGGGCCCTCTTTGGGATTCAGTTCTCCTGTTGTTGCCGGAGTCGAAGGGACCTTGCAGTCGCCTGTATCCCCAAAGTGGAGCACTTCCAGCGAGCAGCGTTAAGCTTTCACTCGTTCGCAAGGTTGTGTGTGTGTTTGTTCCGTTGTAGAAGAGGCAGCGCCAATGAACGTTCCTTGATTTAAAAGCAGTGTTATCGAGGTCGACGGGGAGCTCTCACGAGATGCTGTGTGTTGCGTGCGGTTGTTGGTGGTGGAGTTTTCGCGTGGCCGGCATTTTTCTTTGCTACATTTGCAAACAGGCTAGGCTCTTATACGGTTGAAGTAGTTCATGTGTGTGGCGAAGGTATCTCAACTCGTGGTGGTCCGTAGGAGCAGCCCATTCAAAATGTTCCGCATACAAAAGTTTGCGATTCGAAAGGGCCGTCACAAGTGAAATATACGGGGGAAAGAGGAAGGGCATTCGTCTTCCGACACGTTCATGTAAAGTCGACCGTGCACTTTGCGTAGAGACGCAGTAGACAACGAGGCTCACTATCAGTCAAAGATGCAGACTATGTTGTTTTTGTGATTCATTACGGATATGCATCAATCTAGTCTGGTTTCAAACCCTTCAATGATCGCGCAAAGGGGGGTTTTACAGAGTTTGTGAAGCCGTCCTTCAGTGACGGTGACTTGGACGCCCCTTCAGTGTTTGAGGCTCGTCAAACTATTTAGAAAACCATGGAAATTTCAGAAAGATCACCAGAATACAGTGCCATAGGAAAAGCAGAAGCCGTTAGTTAACGATACCCCCAACGAATGTATCACGGCGTGTCTCCGACCGCTGCGGCCTTTGTGCTTAGTCTGCCCTGAATCGCCTTCGCAATTATATCTGTACCTTCTTAAGTAGGAAAAAAAGTGTTTTTTCGCAGCTTTTAATATTTTTCGTGACGCATCTCGGTTAAACCTCGATGGCCACCAAGATGGGCTACTGTCCCGCTGAGCGGTCAGTGGAGGAATCAAGCGAAGGAAATGAGCAGGTTTGTTTCCACAGAATCTCATTCAAATGTAGAGACTATAGATTCCCGTAAATGATAATATAAAGAGACAAAACAAAGCCTTACAGTTACAGGAACAGGAGAGGCAGAAAGAACCCCAGGATGCAGTGGAGCCGGCAAATACAGCGCAGCGTTTGCTACAGATTCCATAGCAAGTAATTGCTCTACATAAATTAACATTTATTTTTTACTGTATTGGAGTAGGGTAGGTAGAGGCTGCGGTCGTCATTTGCGCTTCTCGAGCATCCCCATTTACTTTAAGAATTTGGTAGCCGATTTGAGACCCACCAGAAGATGTTCAGTATGAAAGAATCTTTTCTAAGCATTATGGCTCCTCTTCTTCTCCATAGCATTTATTACTAGTCATATTCCTGGTAGAGCAGCACCTCTCCAACGCAAGATAGCTCACTGGCAAAGCAAGACATAGTCACCGCACTGATATTTTGAAAATGACAGCTGCCTAGCTTGGCCTACGCTAAATTCCGGTTCAACGGACAGATGTATCAGAGGGTAGGAAGCAATTTACGGCTACTCAAGCTTGAACATAAGTAAAAGCCACCTCGCAACAGGCAGCAAAAGATACGCAAAAGTGAGGACTGCAAGGCCAGCCAATATACTCTTTTCCTCGCGTAGGGCCCTCTCCTTGCGTCGACTTCTTGCAGTCTTTATCCCCTGAGACGGGTGACCGGTTCCTCAGGGAAGGCCTCAGTGGGCTGCAGCAGACCCCACCAGACGGCCGTTTGGCCTATGTGTGCTTATCGCTGTGTGGGCGGGGTCTGCGCCAGCTGATGGTGCTATGTGACGTGAAGAAGCTTCTCTCAATAGACATTTCCGACAACAAGCTCACAAGCCTTTACCCTGTCCGGCTAGCAGCCAACCTTGTGTATCTTAATGCCAGCAACAACCAGATAAGCTCTGCAGCGGAGCTGTCAGCAAATGCGAAGCTCGAGCATGTTGACCTGAGGAGGAATCTTATTACCTCTCTAGGTAACATCCTATCTTATTTAACTAAGTTAGGCGCACGCAGACGTCCCTCTCAAAGGGTTCCGTTAAAGTTCCACGCGGGTCGAATGCGAAGCGAGTGTAGTTTGGCCTCCTGTCCTATCAAGACATTTTGTATCCCTAGTGTTTTGAATCCTAAAACCGAGAAGGAGCTGTTCCCCAAAGGGTATGTTACTGACGCCCGGATTTCACCGTCTTCTGCTTCAAGTTTGAAACTGCCGTATTCAGGTGACTGGCAATTCAACGTCCGTCTACGTGTGCTGCGACTCGGAGGGAATAAACTTGACTCCCTGAAGTGTGGAAACCTAACGAGAAACAGCTTGCTTAGGGAACTTGATGTTAGTAATAATGCGATTGAATCTCTGGAGCAGCTGCCCTACCTGAAGTGTCTAGACACCCTAGACATAAGCAGCAACTCCCTCAAAAGCCTCGACGGGATTCAACAGGCTCCTCTTTTAGTAGTTCTGCATGCTCAGGTGAGTGTTGTCTCCTCTGCAGCGAGCCCATCACAGCTCGTAAACGAAACCTCGATGCAAATGTAAAAATATACATTGGCTTCGTTCTCCCCCCTGTCAAGCAGGGTAACCAGTTAACCTCTCTCCATACGCTGGAACTTGGGCAAAACCGCCTCTTACGCGAGATGTACATTCACGAGAATCCTGGCTTGAATAGGCCACTACAGCTTCTAGCCCTGAAAAGTACGGAAGCCCTCCAGAGCCTTCAAGTATCACCAGGGCCGATGACAACCATTCCTCAATGGCGTCTGCACTGCATACATTTGCTACCTCAGCTGTTGCAACTTGATGGCCGTCTTGTGACAGCAGAAGAACAGGTAAAGCCGAGACACCCTAATCATTAAGGGATTCCGCGTGGTCTGCAGCCCAGGAACTAAAACTGTCTTCTGCTGCCATTGTTTCCACTGTTTTGTTTGCTGCTGCTCCTCTTCTTAGTTCGCTGCAGCCGAGGCCTTCGGGAGCCTGGAGTACGCTCAGCGAAGGGTGTGGGAGTCTCTTATCCCCGATGAGCCCTTTGTAGACCGTCGTCTTTTGAAACTGTGCAGCAAAAAACAGAGTATGTCTTGCCCCAAGAAACCTGTAGAGGGCACTTTGACAGTTACCAACCAGTGCTAATTTCTGGAACCGCCGTAAGCATTTGCCAAGCAAAAAATATTCTTTGTGCTCATGTTTAAAGGCTAGGACTCTTCGTTTCATCACGGGGCTATCCCCGTCTAACAAGTCGACGCATCCAAAAAATTTCGTCAGTTTGAAGTTGCCACATGATCCATGGCTTTAAAAAAAGTAGAAAGCCGTTCACATACAAAATAACAAGGAACTCGAAGTCTCATCGTTGGCCTAGGGGGTTGTAGCTTACACTCTGTGAAGCGGCTTTCCCTATCTTCGAGTCCCCACTAACACTCTTCTGCCGTATCTTGGCAATTCCCAATAACGAAACCTCTACGAGGTGGTGCCGTTGTCCCACTTCTCCCAGAGCTTCCCGTCAGGCTGTGCCCCTTGAGGATCGGCAGTCGCTGTTTCAACAACATCCTGCATGTCCGGCTGGGCTGCAGCCAGAGTTGGTGCTGCTGCTGTCACGGTTACCGTTGTTGAAGGTGCTGCAGGGGAAGCCGCCATTGCTGCGGTAGCTGCTGGGGTTGCTGATGCTGCCTCTGGGGACAGACCAGCAAGTGCATAACAGTATGCAGAGTAACAGGCCATGTACGTGGCTGCATCATCTGCAACACTCGCAGCTGCCATCTGCTGCAGCAGCATCTGTAAGTGAGCTGCTGTCTCTGGTGGTATCTGACCCTGTACGGCGGAAAAATATGCTGTAGTAGCAGGGTCGCCCGTAGCTGCTGTGGCTTCTGCAGTTGCTGATGGTGGCACCACTGCCGCTACTGCTGCTTTTTCTGATGAAGTGTCGGCATCTTGCGACGCCCCTGCGTCTGTCGCAGCACCATCCGTGGAGCTTTTAGTAACAGCACTGCTGCTATCCGCCGCAGCAGCCGCTGCCGCCTCAATTCGCCTGAGATAGTCGACGGTGCTATTCTCCGGCGCGTCCGCTGAGAGCCGCATGCACTCCTGCAGCAACTTCTGCTTCCGCTGTTGCAAGTGATAGTTTAGCTGAAGCCGCGCTAGAAAGCTACGTGCCTGCGGATTCAACGGCGCAGCAGCAGGAAGAGCAGTCACAAGCAGAGGGCACGATGAAACCGCAGGTGCACCAGCGATCGACGGTGCTGAAATCATCAAACAATGAGAGCACTCTTGCGCACTTGCGCATACGCTTAATGTACAAGGCCTGAGGTTACACTAAAATGCTAAATCTCCGTACAAGTTCATGGGTAGATCCTGAAAGAGGCTGGGGTTTGACAAAACCTTCTTTTTGCATTTCTGTTTCCACACACTTGAGCACGTATCTGAGCTCATTACCGCACAAACCAGGAAATACATGTTCAGCTGCTGCTACTGCCGAAGCTTCTCTCAACTCTTTCACAACTGCTGCTGCTTCTGATTGTCGCTGTTCGTTATGGTCAAGGAAATTACCTGAAATATCTAAGGTCCATTGAGGAGGTTCTCAAAAAAGGAAACGGAGACGCATCGTCTTCGTACTGCAGCACCGCATGTCCCAAAGTTAATCGGCAGCGCAGAACCTCAACCCTAAACCCCCATCATCCTCCCTGCTCTCAGTTCACGTGAATAATTAGCTCTTGTGCCCACATCTTCTGTAAGTACGCTCTCTAGTCCCGAAGCACCAACCCTGCACTTGCCGTTTTTGCGTGTCTAACGAGAGACAGGTCCCCTATCGACAGCAAATGATGCCCCAGTTGCTGTATAGCAAGAGCTGACGCCTGAGAAGGCACGTAAAGAAAAAAAAGAGCCCAGGCCTATAACATAAGCAATAGCCCTAAGCAACCACTTGCAACTTCAAGAGCTCAGAACTTCCCAGGCCAAAATTTAGAATTTAAAGAAGCGCCATTTCAGAAAAAAGAAGGCAGCCAAAGAGCAAGTACTGCGACAAAAAGCTGTCTTCGCCTCGTCTGTGGCTCCTCTTAGTACAGAAATCGATAATAAGGAATCGGCACCAGCATGAGAATGTACAAAAGGATGTACCTTGGAGAGCCCTAGCTTCGCATTGGGTAATGCCCATGGAGGCTTCTTTGGTAGCGCTTCAATCATCATATCCGTATCTTCCTGTTCACCTTCCTCATCCTTTTCTACTAAAACAGACTTGTCCAGCTTTTTCTTTTTGAGTGTAAAGCGCGTAACACGCAAAGATCTCCAGAGCGCTGTCAAATCCTGGGGGTTGTTGCTCCCGTCTTCTTCCTCAGAGTCACCCACTTCACTCGCTCCACGATCTTTCGCTCCGCACACTGCTGTTGCAGGTGCCGCGTCTCCTCCTGACGCAGACCTTGCTCCTGCTGTAGACGGCATGGGAGGAGCAGGAGGAGGCATTCTCCTGCTCGCTGCCGTAGCTACAGGCTCCCCCAAAATTGGCTCACCGTTCCTCGTTTGTTCCTGACGCTGCTGCTGCTGCTCGCATTCCTGCAGCTGCTGCATTTCTGGCTTCTCGTGTTGATTTTCTTCATCCTGCTGTGCATGTTTCTGCTGTGGAGATATAGCGGTGTCGTCGTCATCCTCGTCACTGCCATACGAAAGAAGCAGCCCTAGCCCACCATCAGGGTCGTGCTTCGGCTGCTCTTGCTGCTGCTTGTGCTCGTCTTGCTCCGGTTGCTGCTGTGGCTGTGATTTGGTCTCCTTTTCCTTCATTGATTCGGGCATCTGCTCCTGCTTTCCTTGCTTCGGAAGTTCAGCTGTACTGCTGACACAACATGCAAACTCAAGCAACGCCCGAACGCGAGGAGGCAAAAGCGCCGGTTCCCACGCCACCAAAGAGTGACCCTGTCGTTTCAGCCAAGTGTAGAAAGGATGCAGCGGATGGCTTGCGGAGAGGAAAGGTAGCCGACGCTCCTCGTCCAGCAACAAACGAAACTCCATGCGGTCGCCCTCCTGGGTTGAGGCGCAGTCAACATCGATCACAGCACTCGCTCACAGCATTCGATCGCCAGCACTCGATCACAGCATTCGATCGCCAGCACTCGATCACAGGAGCTGTTCCCGCAATGTTAGCGATGGCGAAAAGACCAGCAGTAACACAAATATCATCAAGTGCAGCGCCACACACAAGGAATGCGACGACAGATGGAAACCCAGTGCATAGAAAACATGAGCTACACGGTTGCTGCTGGGGTAATTGGTCCGTGCAGGCCCCGTAAGCAGCTATACCCTTTGCTGTGGAATATATGGATCTACGCTGAGTGTCAGCAACGACGGATCAAACGAAACTGAAACTGTGGCGCACCTCCCGAACGAAGTGCGCTGTCCGCTCAATCACCAAGTACTCCCTGAGAGTTTCCGGAAGATGCATGTTGCCGGGAAGATCTGGAAATGGGGGTACGAAGCAGTCACGATCATTCTGTGGCTTCAGCTGCTGCGTGGGTTTATCCTGCTGTTGGCCTTCTTCCGCATGCTTATCTGCATCAGCTACTGACGTTCCACAGTGGCTGATTTCAGAGGCCCGTCCTGCTGTTCCCTTCCTTGCTGCCTCAGTCCCCTGCTCGCACTGCTCTGATGAGGAGAAGCCCCCAGGCTTCGCTGCAGCAGTAGCAACAAGACAGAGGCAACAGTACCCACGAAAACACTGACATACTCATGATCCTCCGATGCACAGCAAGGCTGCAGCCACCAAGAGTAACGGCAGCATCCATAACATGAACAACAGAACGAAGGAGAAATAACAGCATAAGCAACCGCAGCATCAACACCGTCGTCTCAAAAAAGCTAACCTGAGGCATCTCCAGGTTGCTCAAGAGCGTCTGGCGGTGGGACAGCACTGTAATCTGGCCTGCACATGATGTAAGAAAAACAAAGCTTAGACTATCAGCAAGGGCCTGAGCTACTGAGCCTGTCTGCTTGAACAGTGAACATTAAAGTACAGGTCAGTCAAGCCTCACCGTTCCGGCGTCTGGTCGCCGAGAGTCCATGCAGTCGCTGGCACTGCAGTCATCGTGCGTTGCTTTTTCACTTGCTGCTGCTTGTGCTGCTCTAGCGTAGGAGTCCACTGCTGCTGCTCTTGCTGTTGCTCCGGCGGCGTGGGGAGGTCGTCTGAGAAGGCCGAGCGACGCGGAAGGTCCTGAGTGCATGCAAGAAAATGCGGACGCCTCTTGCTTCTAAGTGCCCTTCCTGTAGTTAGGGTCTCGGTTCCAAGCATTACCTCATAGCGCATCTCTTCGATCTCTCGGCTCTCCTGGAGCTCCGCCAGACGCCACTCTTTGCTATAATTTTGACGCGCAAATGAGGCAACATCTCCCAGCAGGAGCCTCACATCGTAACTGCATGAAGAAAAAACAGCGCCGAGAACAGGCAACCACCAGAAGCAATGACTGACGAGTGCTCAGTGGCGAGTCTATTCACATGGCCACGAGTAACGCCACGAACGGAAAGAGCACAGCCAGAAGCCACGCACTGTATAGAGGGAAGGAAACACAACATAACGCGCAGAATGTAGAAGGCGTTGGGAGATGGCGGAGCACAGCATGTTTTCGGGCTTGTGCAGAGAAAAAAAAGGTGGCAAAGGAGAGATAGGTGAAGAAACACATAGAAGTATAAGGCAAGCTAAAAACACTGAGGTGTAGAAGTGTGGCAAACGTCCAAGTACGCAGGCCAAAGCATATTTAGGCAGGGAAATGCTGAAGGAGTTTGACTGGTCTGTCCTGGACCCCCACCGATCAACCAACACTTCCTCTCCTTCTACCTCAATTTTGATTAGTCTGTTATCTGCCACCGAGGCCATACCCCGGCTGCTGCCGAAACGGCAGGCAGTCCCAGTCACACACAGCCCGCTGCTGCTGGCGCTGCTACTGCTTGTGCCGCCGATACCACTGCCCCCACTGCTGCTGGGTGTCCCACTAGTTCTCCCTCGCCCTCCCCATAGAGCAGTAGACATCTTCGCTTGAGCTACCAAAACTTCAGCCAGCCCGAAGCCCGAAGCCCTTGATCCGTTGGACACGCTTGCCCGACACAGGAAACCTCATGTCAGGACGCTCTACGCGGAAAAAACGCCTTGAGGTATGTTGTAGGATTAGTAAACCCCAGAAATTCTCGACATTAGCTGCGGCCCCGCTGAGGCGCGATGAAGCTTCGTTGATCATGGCGCGATACAGCGCGGGCATCCCTGGCCACCGCAGGGGAAGACGCTGACAAAGCGCACCCACTCAACTGCCTTGTATTCCCCTCAGACGTAAAAGTGAACCAAACTACACAGTTAGGAAGAAAGGTGCAGTGGCGCAAAGCTAAAGCAGGCCCTTAGGGGCCCTTTTCGCAAAGTTGCACACGCTGCCGAGGGGTCCTAGTGCGCCACTGCATGCAATACATGCTGTGCAGCTTGTCCGGCAGTAGTTGATGCGACTATGGCCGTGGCCATCGAGTTGGTCTATAGCGAATTGTTTTTGGTCTCTGTCTGAGCCCCGGGGTTTCTCTGAACTGTACTGCCTGACACACCTTTGCGTCAGCTTCGTAATAGTGGCTAGACTGCTGCGGGAGTTCAAATTTGAGTCTTCCTCAACAAGAGAAGCCAGAACTGAGCAAGCTGCCGTAGCAACAGCTGCTGCTGCTGCTACGGCAGCAGCAAGGCAGCGTACATGTCCCACCTCTCGCGCTCGGTTACCGGCTGCTTGGGATCCCGCTATCTCCGGGAGACAGGCTTTTCCCAGAGAGCAAGCAACAACTGAGCTTTGCGTCGCCATCCCAAGCCCGCAGCATGTTCTTCGTGATTGAGCGCTGGGAGTCTGTGGCCCTGCGGCCAGCCCAGCTGGGCCCCGAGTACCTCTCCAGTGTGGAGGCCCTGCTGCGGCAACAAGTGGAGGGCAAATGCTTGCAGAGTGTGGGGTGAGCGCTCACTCAGTCCACGAGGTGCTGGCGGTGGAATGGCAGTATTTGCATGCTTTCAGTTGCGTGGTCTACCCCTTGCTGCTCTGCCGCTCTCGCTGAGCTGAACTGTGTGTTCATTTCCTCCTGCCGGCCTCCTCTTTTGTCACGTTGTTATTTACGGCTATCCGTCTGTTTCCTGTTTGTGCCTACTGGCCAGATATGTGGTGTGCGTAATTCGAGTTCTCCAAAACTTACCTGGGCGTATCCAGGACTCGACGGGTCTCGTTGTGGTTGCGGCGAAGTACCAGGCGATTGTCTTTAAACCATTCAAAGAAGAGGTCAGCCTCACGCTGCCCTTCGACCAAGGTGCAAACCGTATGGGCCATTCGGGGTCTCCTGTTGGTAGCTAGCATCAGACGTGACTATACACCTTCCATCGTGCGGGTTTTGGCTGTTTGCCTGAACTGCTTGCATGCCCAGACCACACCCACTGTGTCCGCGTGCCTTTCTCAATGGTCGCAGGTACTGGATGCAGTGATTACAGATGTGAACAAGCTAGGGCTATTTGCTCAATGCGGTCCGCTCAAGGTCTTTGTCTCAAGGGCTTCCCTGCCGCCGACCTATACATTTCAGGTAGGGTTTTCCGCGAAAAGAGTATTTTCCAACCCGAACAACCCCAAACTACCCGGCTGTTCACTCACAGGATCATCGGCCTAGGCTTCTTCCATGCGCTTGTGGCTGGCATGTTAGTCTACCTAGCATGCCAACCACAAGAGCACGAGTGAGGACTAGGCCGATAATTCGGCGCAGCTTTGGGTCGTGGATTCGACCACTCGCCACTCGTAGCGCCTGTGCTACTGATGATGCTTCTGGTTTGTGGCCTGGCTTTCTCGTCGCAGGAAGAAGACGCGATGCCGAGTTTCTCTGACGGCTCTCTCGCTTTACGGACTGGAGGCGAAATCCGTCTTAAGCTGCTAGGTGTTCGTTTCGAGGCGAGCCAAATTTTTGCTGTGGCGACGACCAATGCTGACTATTTGGGGCCTATTGAGCCGAGAGACGGCACAGCTGCATAAAGAATAACAGCTACACTGGCAGCGCAGCTGCAGCTACTTGCCGCCAGACATCGAGGCAGCATAGGACCTACGCTGTTCACAGGCCTTCGGACTGCGCCGAAAATGAACAGCCAGAACGGCCGCAAATACAGGCCTCCCCAATCTGGGAGGCAAGTTTCATGGATTTAGATATTAAACAGGAATAAGAAAGGCGTGCAGAGGCGTGAGCTGACTTGTCCTACTCCAGCCGCAGGCTTACAGAGCTGGCATAGGTCTGCAGGACGGCCCCTGGCGAGAAAACATTTTATCAGCCGTGGCGGAGACTTAGCCACGCCCTTGGGTATTATCGGTTTCTTTAGAGGTATCGGAAGACGGCACCTGCATTTGTTGATTTTCACGCTGAACATGAAGGCTGAAACAAAGTGCAAGATTTTCGAGTCATACGGCTGCGGAAAGGGTGCGCCATGGTGGGGGCGGGGAGAATTCGCGCGGGGCCCACATGGTTGTCAGATGGTAGACGCTGCGTAGATATAAGCTCGAACATACTGCAATACACTTTGTGATTTCACCGAAAGGTCAGCGAGGGACAAGTTTTGACGAGCAAGTTAACACACTGCGCCGGGACAGGTTGATAGCTAGCCACAAGCACCAAGCAGTGCAGCCTTCCGGCGCATATAAAGCATATTAGAAAACACGTTTGCTGCATACCTGCTGGATATCACTGGGGTCGCCCATGGAGGAGCTGCAATAAAGCGGCGAAGTAACTCTGAATCCCTGGGTGACTCAGGCCGTCTACTAGCCTAAGAACCAATCGAATCATTAGAAACGATCTCTGTCTCCACTCGAAGCTGTGTCCGAATTCGCGTTTAGCGAGACAATGAGCAGCCTGAGGTCAAGTGCTTCGTTGTAACTGCAGTTGCTGCTGCGGCGGGCAATAGTCCTCATGGCATCCTAAAAATGAAACTGTGCGGCAGGTCTTGCCTATCGAACCTGACCTCAAAATCTTCCGGCGAGAGCTGTCTTCGTAGAGTTTGAACCGCTCCCTAACTCCGAGCTGTTTGTACAGCTCGCGGACAACCTCCTCTCCCTCCGGCCGGCCGTACGCCTCGAGCAAATCCGCCGCTTCTCTGGGCTTTGCGGCGGCAAGAGCCTGCAAAATGGGACATATAGTCGTTGTTGATGATAAATGCGGTGAATCAAACCGCCGCAGTACATGATGACAAGCAGGAAGACCGACACTGACGAAATGAGCACAGTCCTATGTGCAGGAGCTTGGCCTATCTACAGGATCTTAACCGTTGGATCACATGTACGATCACTCGCAGGTGAGGGTGTTTGCTCGGACCTCCACAAGTGGCCAGCTGCATTTCCCCTCCCGGATGTCGCTTCCAGCCTTGCCGAGGGCTTCTGGGCAGCCGAAGCAATCCAGGAAGTCATCTTGTGCCTGATCAAGTAACATATCCCCCACGCTCTGGTGTTGCCGCTACTGCGCGTCCCTTTCAATACCAAGGACGCAGAGACAAGCACGCGCTGGAAGCTCTCTTCCGCGCCTCAGCAGCTGCATCTTACGTGAAGAGGAAAACACAAAGCCTAAGTTCGCTTAACAGTGCGGGGAGGGGGAAACAAGACAACAGAAGAGAGGCACCTGGAAGTAGTCCCCTGTGCACAGACATATTTCTTCCACTTTGGCCAGGAGAGAAAAGTCACTGACGCCGCTATGCCGGAGACCTACGAACAGATTGGGCCGACAACAGTCCCCTTTAACAACATCAATCGAGACGCAGCTTTTGCAGGCGAACCCATACACTGCATGCACACCGTACTTGACACCTTTAGAGGCCGTATGCAGACCTTATACTTGTGCCGTGGAAATACACTTGTGTACGTGGGATTTATTCATCCTTAAGCAGGAAGGGAGGCGGGGAGCAGCCGCTGATGTACCCAGAGCTGTGGGAAGCCAAAAGGAATAGTAACCCGTCTTCAGCCTCGCTGCTGACTGCTGCCTACTACGTGCCGCAGCAGTTATCTGCAGCAGCGTTGTTTCTGCCGTTGCTGTTTCACCTCGAAGTGACTCGAGCAGCTCTTGCTGCTGATTTTGTGTCTGCATGTGCTGCTTTTGGTGCCGCTGGTGCTGTTGCAGCAGCAACATGTTCACGTGACCGTTTGTGTCCAGGTGTTGCCCTAGCACGGTGTTGAAGGCGACATTTTGTAATAACTCTGTGCAGGGACCGTACGCTGGGTGGTCTCCGAGAAATTCCCGCAGCAGTCTGCCGTCATCACTCCACATCAAAGAAACTAAGAATGCAACTTAGCCACATCTTAAAGCTAACCTCCGGGAAATGGAACACGCCGATGCCAACCACGGAGGCTCTTGCGAGTGCTTTTTGAGGCGGTAGCAAAATACCAGCAGAAGCGGCCAATGGAGAACAACGGCAGCAATAGATATACGCATAGGCAAAAGCTAGAAAACGGCGAGCAGCAGCATTATCAGGCAGATGATGAAGGGTCTGACTGGTGTACAGAGTAGATTAGGAAGACGGCATCGTTAATGGCATTCGCTGGCCCAACTTCCGGCCTTCTGTACCAGCAGACCTTCCCCCTCCTGGTGAAGGCCCCGTCCATCTGATCGTCAGCAACTAAAAACGCAGCCTGTAGTAGCTCAACCGCCCATCCCAATATGCACAATTCCGAACCGAATGCCTTGTCTAGGGCTGCCTCCCCCGCAGCACAGGAATCAGCTGAACCGGGTGCTCCTGGATTGCGTCCTCCTGATATTGTAACAGTACGCGCAACAGTGCCCCGTGTTGCGCCCGTTTGTGGGAACGCAGGAGCAGCAGCTGCTGCTGCGGAATCCTTGAACTGTACGAATCGTATTTCGCGATTGGCGGCCAGAGAGGCGTACACAGTCAGTAAACCACGGAGTAACTTCCCCCCTGCAGAAGCAGGACCAAAATAACAACGCAAGCTGTGCTGGCTATACTATGACCATGCAACAAAGTCATACTTAATAAGCCCCAACTAGCGAGCTGTTATTTCAAGTACCTCGCGTGCCACCAAGAGTGCTAACACAGACACAAGAAACAAAGAACACCTTTATGGCAAGCCAACGTTGGACTTATGTGACTAACTTGCCAAGCCAGAGTCGCAAGCCTCTTTTTGGAGACCTGACATATAGGCACACGTCTCACTAAACCCAAACGGACCTATGCAGTTGTAGTCAATAACCCGCGAAAAGTATTCCGTGAGCGCATCCGCCTCTCCCTCAGGGGCACACGCCATTATTCTCTCCAGGAGAGCTCCTTTCATGGGATTCAGCATCTTGCAATCGACACACACAATCCATCATCTACACAGAGTGCCGCAGCGACAGGAGCATCAGATACAGCCGTAGACGCAGGCGTGACAAGTCTTTATAGCTTGCGTGTGTAGCGTCTTGTTAATTGCTTCTACTTTGTGCGAAAGACGGAGATACTGAGACAAGCAACCGCGACGCACTCTCAAGAAGCGCTGTTGGTCCCTCTTGATGTCCACGTAGATTGAACTGACACACGGCATTCCCTCCTGCCAGCAGACATCAGCAGGATCTGCTGTGGCTGAAGCTGCAGAATCTCCTTTGACCTCTCCAGCATGACTGAGCCGTTGTTCTGTCGCAGACTCATCTGCGACTGTTTTCGCAGTCGATTGAGCAGTTGCCACAGCTCCTGTGGGCTTAGTCAAACTGTAGTTGTCCACATAACAGGCGTGAGGAGAGAGAATGTTAGCTTTTACTGCACAGAGCGCCTTTGGGACGTAGTTTCCCACAGTGGCAGAGCGAGCCGGAGCGAAAAGCCGACGTTGGTCAGACTTCTCAGGAAGCTGGCCCACATGTCCACACTTTGCAGTTAAAGTTAGGGGCTGTCGTGGCCAAGTGTAGGGGAGAAGAGATAGTGAGGAAATACAGCTCGGGCAAAGGCGGCGGACCAACATCATGGGACAGAAACGAGGCTTGGTTTGTCCCGCTGCGTTTATCGTTCATGGCTCCCGTTGAAGGCGCGAATGAGCGATACACAAGGCGTCGAGACAGGTTGGCGAGCGCTTTTAGAAAGGCGTTAACGGGTAACAGGTTCAAACACGGTGATCTGTTCAGGGTTGTGCTTACACGAAGACAAGGTGCAGCCAAAGCGCCGCTGAGTTGCGTGAAGCCAAACCATGCAACATAAATTCCTGACAAGTATACAGGACTCGTCAGTCGCTAAGAGAAAACCTTCTCTTCGCTGCTCTGTAGAAATATTCGGCGGTGAAAGTGCTCAGATTTGACCAGACAGCCCCGCAGGGTCAGACATTTGACGTTGGATGGCAATACATGGAACTGTATACATATGCGCTTAAGCTTCTCGAAGAAATCCACATTCTGGACAAAAGTATTCTACTTCATTTGTCATCAAGAGGAACTTGGTTGGAAACGGCTCATTCGACAAGAGGTTTCCGCCGATATCATACTCTATCAGCTACCGCGCTAGCAGGGCAGCACTTTCCAAAGATTAGCCGGACTTCCTCGTAACTATCAAACTACTCTCCCAACTGTCTGATTATGACTTTATACTTACCTCCTAGCGACGTGCTAGCTATTAACTGAAAGCAATGTTAGCCGGCGTTGAAGGCAGTATGGGTGACCCCGGGCAGCTGAATGGAACAGTGGAGCGTCTTCCTCTGGAAGGAGCTGTTCACAGCATCCGAAGGCGCTTAGGGGACTGCAATTACTACAGAGCAAGTTGCGGGAAGTTGTTTTTGGCCCAGACGTTCCCAACGGAGTCTGATTTTCCCGCGGTGTGTAGCTGTGGCCGGGCCACTTCCAGAGCATCGTCGTGCGTTTCCTCATGTCACTAAAGAAGGCTTGCCACGAAGCATTCTGACTTATGCAATCTCGTGCTAGCGTTTCTCTCTTTACGCAGTAGTGAGCAGCGTGAGCTTTGCTGGTCTGCGTTTGCGCGCATGCAAGTCGCGTGTGCAGCACTGAGTGTCTGCAGTGACCAACGCGCTGCGGTGGTGAATCTACATGGAGTGTTTGTTGCTTCGCTTCAGCCTCGTTCTACAATATGGCAGGCAATTCTGGGCCCTCGTTGCAGGTGCACGGGATAGTTGAGCCGTTAAAGCGCAGTAGACGCTTCCATGCCATCGCAGTACAGTACAGCTATGCGAGTTTCCATCGGCTTCACCCGCAGTTTGGGCCCAGATAGGAAGAATGCTTTTACCGAATTCAACTGCTGGAGCGCGGTGACAAGGCCACGTAAAACCGCCTACAGAAGCTAGGCCCCCTGCACACCAGTTGTTTGCTTGTCTGTGACCTAGGAAAGGAGGGAAAACGAAAATTCTGCGCCTAATCATCACATATCTTAGCACCCCAGGACGGCAACAACCTTCCTCATCACTGCAGAGGAACACTTGGAAACAAAATTACTTCTTGAGGAACTGCTCAGAGGGAAACACGTTGCAGTAAAAATGTACTTAGCCTTTTGTCTCTCCACATTTCAAGACTGGAGATCTGCTGTTCAGGCTTTTCGATTTCTGGACGCCATCAGTAACACGCGCGTGACTTCCACGCGATGTGCTGCCATCCATCGTGGCTGCTGCAAATGTCACGTGCCAAGCATCTGTATTGTTTAAATATTAAATTGTGCGCCTAAAGAATAATGAAAGTATACGAACGACGGAACCAGGACGTAGGGAACACCAAACCATCTACACGGACACAGAAACAGCAAACCATCTACACGGACACAGAAACAGCAAATCATCTACACGGACACAGAAACAGTTGACTTTGATTGAAACGCATGGCTGCGTCATGGGAAACACCTTTTCTGTGGAAAACTAATATTTTGTGATGCGTCTGAAGAGAATGAAAGTATAAGAACGACGGAACCAAAACGCAGGGTCCACCAAGCCTTTCACAGGGACATTTTGTTTGAAACCCACGGCTGCGTGATGAGAAACACTCCTTCTATGGAAAATTGTGCTTGACCCTGGTCGTTGCTACGGGTGTGAGCATGATATTCCTAAAACGGCTCATATTGGCTCGAAGGGAGATTTCGATAGTGCTGGCTGATTTGCTGAGTCGGAAACCCCTGCTCGGAAAGACGTGAAAAAGTGCTCGTGGTATCATCAACCCAGCTATCAGCTTGAAAGTCTCCTTGGGGGCCTTCCCATAGGCTATCATCAATCGCACTCTGCCCATCGCCGACGTGGTGACCATCTGCCTCCATGTCACAGAACTCCATCGGCCGAAGCGCTTCAGAGGGATGGGTGTCTGGCTCGTCTGCTGGTTTTGCTTTGAAGGAAGTCAGCCTTATAAAGGATCCATTGTCATCATTGGACCGCCAAGTGACGGGAGGACGAAATGGGTTGTCCTTATTGCTTAATTTACTGGGCTTGACCTGGGCTCTCTCTTCAAATGGGGTGTACGAGTGAAATGCGTCACCTCCAAAGACAGTGCTGCTGTGTATTTTGTAAAGGTAGCGCATGTGTCCCCCCTGAAAAATGACATGCACACAGGACAGCGCCGTGGTGTCGCGTGCCACAGCAGCGATCAATGATTCACCCACATCCGGACACGCGCTTTTGAAAGTTCCCGATTGGTTCGTCATCGATTCCCGTTGTACATGAAAGCTAGCACGAACGTGACCTTAAGCCTTGAGCGTACTATTAAACAGACAGCGTTGAATAGCTGTGTTGCGGAAGGAGCCGCAGCCACAAGGAAGGGGTCCTTCAGAGCGTAGAGCCCGTAACAAACGGTAAAGGCATATATTAATATGGCGCCAGCAGCCATGCTGCAAAATTCGCGGCACAAAATGAAGAATTTCGGATAGTGGGTACGCCTATCTTCAAATACGGGTTCAAACAGCGACGACGCTGGAGTGTGTTGCACGAAACGAGTTACAAGTGGAACCGTTTTGGGAATGAGCAGACAGCCAAACCGAAGGGTTAGGTACAACTGAGTCATTGCAGCACTGACCACCAGATAATCAGCTTTATTAATGCAAGACCAACGCCAATCAGCCATAAAGGAGCCAGTAGCAAGCTGAAGCGTTGGTTTGTGTTTTCTTCTGGCAAAGGCAGGTTGCTCTGAAGTTCCTTCATTATTTTACTCTGATGAGCTGCACGCAGAGATCATCGAATGATAGGCTGAGTGTAATAGTGTTTGGCGAATATCTTTCCTTGTCATCTTATTTGTTAGTTGCAGAACCCGCATGCCGCCTTATGTCCTGTTAGCATATCTCGTTGTCGAATTAAGGCCGTGCCGCCTTCCCACGCGATTCGTTACCTCCCAGGATGCAGGGGGCAGTCGTAATGGTGCAGGGAAGCGCAGAAGAAACTATGTGTGTTAGGCAGCATCCCGCCAGTCCTCCTGTTGGCGACGAGCCACAATTCAGCACATGCTCAGAAAAAAAATCTAGTTAAATTTTTGCACAGATAAGGAGATGTATTAAGCTTTGCTTAGCTCACGCATTCTTAAGCTGCCATGATATTTGACGATGGCTGATATATCTGTTCAAGCCACTTGACACAACTTCAGCTAGATCGGTCATACTCCTGCACAGAGGCACTCTCAGGGCATATTCCATATAATTCCAAGTCACCTTCTCGGTCTTCACATCCATCTCCTCCACATGTGCCACAGGAAGCAACACAACAACCCGTGCCGTCATCACTGAGGATCCCAGAGCTGCAAGACGGGTCACGCAAGCTTGCAGAAGCTGAATCCACCAACAGTAATACACAGCGACAAGGCAGCCCTCAACAGCCTTGCGTAATAAAACACAGTAAAACTGAAATGGGTAAGCGGATCCTCTCTGAGCTATTTCGCAACCACGAGCCAGTAGGATGTATGAGGCGAGGATCTTTGGCGGTGCAACAGCTGCTCAAACTTTCAAGACATCATTGACTATGCATTGCCACTGTTCTGTTGTCGCGCACTGTTAGCGTCTAGCTAATTTGTTTCGGGTGTGTCAGGAAAAGTGAGATCCAGACTTCTCTACTTGGTGTCCGTAACACCTCACCAGGTGCTGCGCACTTCTTCTTCATGAATATTTGTATATCCTGTGATGCAGCACATGGCAAGTTTGCTTCTTTGCAGCCCCTAACACAGTATTGCCTTGATGTGCTTGGGAGCACTTGCAGCTAAAACACATGCGCTACGCCACTAACACAAGGACGAACACCAACAGCGAACTACTCGACCACTTGCTGACAGTATGATAGCTCATCTAAAATCAAGCCAGGGCTGATTTTCGAGGTCTATAACTTTGCTCTGCAAGACCTCTAGAGCTACGACCATAATTCCGTTGGTCACGCAGCCAAAAAACGCAGAGATGCTGCATCTGTAACGGCCTCTCAGACAGCTTACCCTGTAGCCGTGGAAGGCGAAGTCAAGAGCCATAATGGATTCCCCTACAGCAAAACACCGCCCCACAAGCACAAAGCAATGAACAAGACTAATAAAAAAAATAAGTCATCAGTCTACTGATAAACCCTTGCGGGAGTATAAAGCAGGTCGCCCGTGCCGTCAAACTTCGTGCTATCACTGTTCTTGCAGTCAAGGCTCGGATTCGTGTAGATGAACAAGAGGAATGAAAAACACTGGTCGAGTTGACCACTTGTTCTTGTAGACCACCTACCCTCGGACTTGCACTGGAACTGAACAACAAGCCTCCTCACGTTTTCCTCTGAGCCTGGAAGGGCCTCCTTAAGAACAACATGAGAAGATGGCCTCGAAGCTACAAGACTGACTGCTTGTTCTGTTTCTGTTTCTTCTCTCTTGCTGCTTCCAACGAAGTTGTACAAAAGGGGATACACCACTTGTAAGTCGGCGGCTGAGCGCAAAAGCAAGTAGGACCATATGACGCACAGCGTACAGGTATCTCCCTCATTTTCGGGTGACTGTTGCCTCATAAATGAAAACTGCATCTTCCGAACGTTTTGTGGTAATGCCATGCACTGTCAAGCTTTTCGCTAGCTACCTCTATGAAGTCATATGTCATATCAGTCCACGAGGGTTCCGGAAGTGAACTTGCCTATTGTCGGAATCTGCATGTCTAGTTTGCCATCCTTACAGCCGTGACACCACGCGTAGATTTCAACGAAGTCTTGCTGCAAATAGAGCAGAAAAATTTCGTCAGCGGTGTTTCAAGAAGGACGCAGCTCTGTAGAGGAAATTACTCTGAATTCACTTTGATGTTAGAAGTAGCATGGAGGAAAGACACAAAGCTCTAGAACTATACGGAAGCCCACTAGTTGGAGGCTGCAAAGCAGGCACATACAAGAAAATTTGGAAGAATTTCCCCTTACCGATGAATCAAACACGAGATTCGCCGCCTGCACTGTTGAAACATGTGGCGACACTGCACCGTTGGTTACAAGATCCCCTTCATTTGAAATGACTGCCCTGATGTCTCCAACTGTGGGGGACGGACAAAGGCTCGGATCCCACGGCAGGTCTGAGGTGCTGCGCATCAGGGAAGCTGCGTCTTTGTTCTGAGGGGGCGTTAGGGGGCCAATCGAGATGTTAAATCCCGTCGGCCCGGCTGAAGAAGGCAAGCAAAGACAGCAGTACACACAGAACTTGCTCACTTGGGTGGAATTATAGGAGAGTGCTTAAAAGCTGGAGCGATGCTAATCATGCCAGAACTGAACCTACCTTGCATGAATGCTCCATTTGAGCAGATGACCTTCCACATCAGAACGACGGGCTCACAACCTCCGAAACGAAGCTCAGCGCGCACGGGAATGGGGTCGATTGCTTGACCTCCCACAGAAAAACAGCTTTTGTATGCGACATCAAGCTCAGCCACTGGGCGGTGCGTACCATCTTGGTGCTGGTGGTCGGCCTGCCGTCCTTCCTCCCCACTGACTTTATAGGAAAGAAGAAGCCCTGATAAATCCAGTGCTCACAACAAACCTCAAAAAGCTTCCACTCTGTAGAATGCTACATAGTTTCGCGAGTGCTGGGGATTTCGACTTTGCACTCAAGGTAGGCCAGTCAAGCGATCTACAACTGATGCTCCGTATTACTACATGTGATTTCCGGAGTGTTTGTGGGTGCTCCACGTGAGCTGCATCGCGCACCGTCGCCGTAGGAAATGCTCGCGTCGATGATTGGCATCAGCATCATAGAGGCGACGGCATCATATGCACTCTTAACAGGAGCCACAAGACGAATTAATGTTATTGTCCCTTCGTCCATGCTGAAAGTGGGGTTGTCTAGGAGTAACAAACGAAAACAGCTTCAAAACAAGGCACACTCAAGCGTAGGGGATACTGAAAGACGGACATTTGCATCGTACATTGGATAGCAGACGACCCGCGTTGGCAAGCCTTTGATTTAGGCTAAAAATTATCTCACCTTCCGTATATTCAGACCATAAAGGAGTAACTTTTCCACCTTCAACAACAAGTCGGGGATTTTCTTCACCGTCTGCAGGATCATCTGAGGGGCGCCCGTGAATATGGTGCAGGTATGGCATACCGTCTGCCTGTGCTTCTTCCTTCTTGACAAAATCACTAAACTTTGAGGCCACAGAAGAAGGGAGTGGGGATACAAGGAAAGCGTCAAAGTGCTGGCAATTATCAACCTGTAGTTCATCACTTTGGGGACCATAGAAGGCGAAGGGTGAAAAAGCCACATGGGCGGATATAGAAGACGAGCTATCAAAGCTCCCCGTCTGGCTTGAGGGCTCTGCTAGGCCATTTCTTCCTGAGAAACGTGGGGCGTAAGGCTGCATTGGTAAGAGGAACGGGACTATCTCATCGAGCCCTCTGGTCGTCATGGGAACTGGGGTCGCTGGGACATCCTCGCTACCTATTTGAAATGATTCATCCTTTCCAGATGGCTGCTGAGTGTCTTTGAGGTCGCTGCCACCCTGGCTGACATTCTCTGAGACAACGTTGCCGCTTGCAAATTGGGGCTCGGAGCTTTCATTGGACCCGTAAAGTGGAGGGGACGCCTTTTCAATTTCGGAAGTCAAATAAAAGTCTTCATCTGCCTTTACAGCGACCTCTGAGGATACAGTTTCCTCACTAGAGCCACTGGAGAGCCCACCAGCAAGCTTAGGGGACGCCCATAGGGCAACAACCAGTGCTGCCCTGAAAACTCGTGCAAAAGAAGACAAATGACGGTTTCGGTTTGAAGCATACTTCCTATGTAAACTTTGAGAATAATAATTGACAGAGTGAAGGGATTCCTGCGAAGGCTCGGGCTTCCTTAATTGCCCTGCTCCTCCGCTCCCAACCGCTACCCTGGGGTGGTCTTTTTCGACTCTCTCCATCATGCACGAGGCGAGACGAGAAAAACACGTTTTCTGTCTATTAAGAGTTACGTATTTCAACTGATTGTAGTAAATTGCGAGCTCGTGGGAGATTTTCCAGACCAACGGGCAAAGTGACCTGGAATGGCATCCGCAGCAACAATGAGACTTTTTGAAACGAAGTGCAGTGTACAGAACTCTTGCTGACTTCACCTCTCATTTACCATGACAATATTACTTTAAAGCATTATATGTCAAATTACCTCCAGGCAGTCGGAAAGGCGTTGTGTCTGTAAGGTGTTTTTCTCAGCCTAGTGGTTGGCCCACCGGTCACCGCTGGCGGCCAACGTGGCCGCACACAAACGTCTTACGAAAAACACAGCTCTTCTTTTCAGATCCAGCTAGCCATGTTATTCAAATTATGAAATCATCTATTGGAACAAAAGCGTGTTTGGAAAACTCCTTACTCAAGCTACCAACAGGGCGTAGTATTCATGCAAGAAGAAACTATCTGGGAGTCAGTGCGGCTGCTCATTGCCTGTACGGTAACAGCATTCCTCAGGAAGTAGAGTGAATACGGAATAACTACGCCCTTCTGCACTAAAGGCGACCACCCGGAAAGGTCTCTCTAAAACCATTGCCAACTGGCGAGTAATGGCGACACCAAAGTAATGCCAGGAATCGAGAGGCACGTTGGGCTTCCACAGCTTTCACTTTCTTTCCAAACTAGACACTTCCTAAAATTATCTTTTCTGTTCTTCTACCATTATACTACGGTTGCCTACAGGCCGTTATTTTTCAGATGCCGCTGACAGAGTAACAGTGATCCTATATAATGGCCATTATTGCGTTTGTCTTGCCTCCAAGAGTAAACAGCGTTTGCTAGCCGATTGTAGGCCCGCCCTATTTCATCGTTTGACCCTGGTTAATGCAGATCAAGCCTGACACGTTGGCACGGCTAACTAAAAAATGAGCACTTCACGAAGCATCTGTTGCTTGTATTGTTTCCATAAGCTATAAAAAGAGTGACAAATTGGCCAGCCGAAAGCTTACGAGCTTGAAGCAGATGGCGCCCTCTGACACAAAAAAAACGATGGGCTGTTAACCCAAACGCGCACACTGCAAATGCAGGGATAATTAGCAAGTCGTTCTTCATTCAAAATGATCCCTAAATCTTACGCAGTTGCAACTTGAGCAGCTCAAAATAGAGCTGAATCTATTCAGGTGGCACCTGCAGAACTAAAATATTACAGTCACTCCCACATAAGCCATAATGTGTACGCAAGCAGAAAGTCTGCACTAATTATCGCTCCTCAATAGTCAGCCCTAGGTCCTGAGTGGTTAGCCCTTGGGCTTTTCAAGAGGATATGAAAGCAGGCCTGATGCAGGAGCGCGTAGTGCGAGGGGACGCGACGTCGGTCCCTCCGTATACATGAGCTATATTGTTTGTGTCAGTGGGGGTCCATGGGAAAACATTGTGACGCCTAGAGAGGCCCAGCGGCCTGCAGACGTTGGCTTCAGCAGTGGGAGTCATCCAATTCTGCAGATAAGTGCATAGTATTGTAAAGAGGAAGAAGGTGTCAGCTCAAAACAGTCGTGTCCACAGAGCTCTTGTAGCATCATGCTTGCGTACTAGCTTAAATGCTACGTATGCAGTGTCTATAACTGTGTGGCCTTTCCACACGTTGGAAACACGTACCCCGCTGCATTCAAGAGTTGGCATCCGGTGTTGCCTGGCAATGGTGCCAAGAGAGAACTTCAGCTCTGTATTCGGCTTGGGCATGAGTCCCTGAAAGCAACAACGCAGAGCATGAGGCTGATAGGGCTGCATGACAGGCCTGATTGCCTTATGAGGACTTCAGGGCTTCAAGTCTCCATCAAAAGATGCACTGCTGTAGAGTACCAGGTAGAAAGCAGGGACACCGATAAAAAACCCAAATTCAGCTGTGTGCACTGTTGAAGTAAGAAGGCTTGGAAACTTAGTACTGTGTAGATGCTAACCAATATGTCGTGGTCGATGTTGTCCTTTGCCTTCTGCATAGAAAATATGCGCTCTTTGGGGAGCATATAAGCGTCAAAGTCCGCTACATTTACCTCGGCAGAGGCCCTTCCTGGTCGTCTAGCTGTCATTATTTCAGTTCGGCCGCTTAAAGGGTCTGTTACGTGAAACTTCGTGCAAAAGGCTTCAGAAAGCTGGTCAGGATTGAAGTACTGCCTCAGAGATCGCGTGCCTCTGCGTGTTGTCGGTGGCGGGTCCTTAAAAGCGGAAAACAAGCCCGCAATTTGCTTCGATTCGTTGGCTTCTGGGGACTGCTTCTTGCTCCCGTGATTAAACGCGGCGTTGTTGATCTTGGACGTCGATTTGCCCGCATACCCTGGAGGTGTCATTGAGTCTCTCTGTGTGACCTTCTTGCCACTGCTGCAGCGCTCAATGGGTCGTAAGATGGCGCTCATGCTGTCGTTGAAGGCAGAATGAGCTGCCCCGAGTGCATTGTTTTGACGCGTCCTGTTTGCTAGTTGTGGTGAGGCCAGCTGCGAAAGGCGTTCGCTGGGTACGCCAGCAACGGCGGAGCCCCTCTCCGCCATCGTTTTACTGGACTAACTGACTTCAAAAGCGGTCTTGAGATAGCGCAGGTGGCGAGCTTTTGAGTGGTTCACGTGGAGGACGCCGCACTGGTGTGGAAAGGAGGCAAAACAGACGTCATCAGCCTCATAGAACGCATCAATCTTCTCTTCTTAACGTTATCTGCTTATGCTGAGTAGACGCTGCCTGATATTCCTGCAGAGCACAGCATAAGAAGTTCGAGAACATAGACACCCCACAGACCGTAGAGTGCTGAAAGGGACACCTAGCGAGAAACTCCACTGCCCATGAACACTTAAACACAGACTTGCAAAATGTGAAGGCAAGAGCAGTGAGAAAAGGCAGAGAGACACGGCAAGCAGACCAAGAGCTGCCCGAAGATGCCGAGCCCGATCCACGCGGTCCACAATGGAGCAAATTCAGGTCTGCACAGTACAAGATGTGTCATAGTGTAAGTAATAGCCATTTTCATTGAGATTTACAGACTCAAATATTTATACGGGAAAAAATTTAACCCGTGGACGGAGAGCAGAGCCTCCGCCGACTTCCGTCAGCGTCGGCTGTCCCTGTCCATCACCGGCACTGCACTGAGGCAACCACTCTCGAGGCGTTGCTTATTAAAGTTGTTATGAAGCTTCACATGAAAACACACCAAAAACATAGGCCTCTTAAGGATGCAGAAAAACGGACCGCCGTTTTGCATTCAAAGCCCTTTGGAGCACGTACGTCAAGCTGTGAGGCAGTCAGCGCCAAAGTCCAGCTTAAATCAACAGTGATGACAGAAAAAAACTTTCCCGACTGAGCACAGAATAGAGTTGAAGGTGGGGCACTCTCTATATATTTGGGAAGAAAAACACACTGGAAGAACAGCACACCACCAGCGGCCGACGTGTCGAGCTATCCCAGTCACAGCCGAATGGCACTGGGTGGCTGCTGCGTTTCTGCCCCTCCCAGCATCCTGAGCTTCTTCAGAGTATATCATATTTCAGAGATTTCCTTTCAAACCAATCAAATAATATAAATTTACCCCTACAGTGAAGTAGATTGTGGCGGAAACGGGCACAACTGCCCCAACCATCGGACAGCGAATCAGTGTGCACTGACGGGAAAGATTCGGAAACTTACGTCTATGAAGGCTGAGAAAATAAGCTTGATATAGAAACTAATACTGTTCAATATACATTCATGTTTCGTATTTTTCCGTGCTTATTATCCCCTTCCATCTATCGCTCCACAGGGACACTGAGCACCGAATCGAGTCGAGGCTGTCACGTTTGGCTTGCGCTCCGTAGTGTAGCTGCGTTCTTTCAAATTAGTAGAGGAGCACTTTTGAGCTCAAAATCGGTCGCAAGCGTAGCCAAGGAAAGGGGGCGCTTGTTTGATGTTGCGTCGGTGGTGCCCACGTGCGCTCTGTCCTGAACCGCTTAATCCTACTTGAAATGATAGATCTAGAAAAGGTGCTGGCACAAGCTTTTGTGAAGAACTGAAGACAGATCCACATTGTCGGTGCTTATGAAGCATCGCAAAGGGGGTTGTAAAGTAACGTCTACAGGCAGTCATACTACGTTGGCTCTCTGGGAACCTGGCTCCTTCATCAGCTGCTGAGAGACTAGAATAGATCTGGTATCGAGAGCATATGCCTTTGATTTCTCATCGCTTATTGGGGGCCCACAGCAATGCACAACACTGCATGGAACAGGCACAGGAAGCATGAAATCGCGTTGCACGTAGTCACGTAATCGATTTCTCATTCTCTAACTGCAACCTGGACGTCTACTTTTCCTCCTGCATTTTGTACAGCTTCCACTAGTTGTAGTTGCATTATATGCACACTTCTCAGGTGCACACGTGCTGCTTACGATGAGCAGCTTCTTCGCCTTCGTGCGGCTTTGCTATCAGTGTGAGAGCTATCTTCATGCCCCAATGTCAAGCCTTTTGGGCAGAGCTCAGCACGGGCTCACTGCGAATGCCAAAGTGATTCCAGGCAGCAAAGTAGGCATTGTTGGCGCACTAGGCATGGCCTGCGGCATTGTGGAAGCTTTTGAACGAAAGATATGTCATCGCTGGGTCACCGTGAAGGCACTAGACCATGCGTTTGACCGTCCCCCCAGAGCAACTATCAACACTAGCTGACGCGCTGCGGAAATTCAATGAAGCCCAGCTGCGGCGTTTTTGATTTTGGCCATATTATTGGAGCAGTTGACATTCCTGCAATAGCTTGTATCGGATTGTTCAAACCTCCGCCAAGCAGGCTAACCCACAGAAGCCCAGCGGATTTGGTGCAAGCATTACCTACATGTTCGAAGTAACGTCAGCTATTAGCGTGTGCTCCAGTGTGGAGGTATGTGACTAACCAGAGCTTCCAATGTCTACGCTGATGTTACCAGGAGCAAGCAAAAACGGTAACGGCGTTTTCCAAAAAAATCCGAGGAAATAAAAAGTACACGGAAATTTCAGACCATACTCTCTCAGCAGCTACAGCTGAGATGGCACCTTTATCTCCCTGCCTTCCACTACAAGATTCCCGTGCTCCTTTGTTCCCGCGTGCAAGGCAACTTGAGCAGTTACTTTACCGCCTTCTGCAGATGACAAGGGGGGAGCTTTCCGTCCTGCCAAATCAGTCTTGCACCAGCCTAAAAGAAGTCCAGGCAGCAGAAAAAATGCCCCACAACATGGCTTTTGGATTAATCAGAAGCAAGCCTCATCTTGTCGCAGAGTGAAATTGTTCGCCATCTGCGGTGTAGCGCCCGCATTCAACCCAATTTGCGCTATCGCACCCGGGTAACAAGCAGTCACGATGATTCCTGCTACGTCTGGGGTAAGTTTGCGTTTATCTGCTTGGCGGGCCAGGGCAGCCGTCAACGCAATCACTGCGGCCTGAAGAATCGCAGCAGCTCGCAAGCGCTGGTGAAAGATCAATGGTTCCTGCAAATCGCCAAATATGGCAAGGTGCCTGAAAAAGAAAGGCTAATGCACTTGACAGTATAATGCCCGCTTGTATTTTTACTTATTGATGGTGGCTGAATCGTGCTTTCCTTACCTTTGAGAACAAGTATGGCAGCCTTGGCCATCCTTGTTCCTTCCAGTTAGGTGCGGCATTAAGGTAGTCGCGCACTGCAGCATCGATGTCCTGGCAACCCAGACATCAGACCAGGTAGGTACAGCAACCAGCCATTCAGCAGCCTGGAACTAGGTAGGGGCTTCGGAATTAGGACTGCACGTTATGAATGATTAGCCAGACAAAATGTCGGTAGAGATCACCTCAACAGTTGTACAAGGACTAAACAAACGATCGCGGTTCTTGCTGCTCATGAAGGGGGGACCAGCATTTTCGAGTTTTGAACTCAGGAATACAACTTTTGAGCCCTGCCTGAACAACGGTGCTATGGCCATCGTGATCTGGGAGACAAAAACAGTAGCACGTGCAGTCACCTCATAACAATTAAGAAAATGAAATGCTTGCCTTGTTGACTGTAAAAGCTGTAACAGGTAATTTTGGGGGGCTGAGGATGAGAATTAGCCATCCTCCTCCAAGAAAGAAATATACAGTGGAATCGGCTTAAAATAATCTGAGGTGTACTAGGAAGGCGAGTGAATCTTACGTCTCTAGTGCAGAAGTAGTTCACAGCACAGGTCTCCTTTGCTTGTTCAGTAATGGGCTGCTTTGACCCCGGAGGGGAGGCGACACCTGAGACGGTGAATAACGGCTCTGAAAGGAAGTTCTTGCACTGCTCACTCGTGAGGTCGTGCAGGTTGTCCTGGAACAGTGGCGAGGGTCCTAGAGAAACATTTAAGCGAGGCGGGCCAAAATTGAGAATCGAGGTTTGATTTGATCGTGTGGTGCCTGACCGGCGTTGTTGATAAGGCAGTCGACGCGCCCATACTTGCGCCGAAGTGTACTGGCGAAGCGATTGCGGCTTCCTTCGTGTGATATATCCAGGAGTTCAAGATTTGCTTTCACCCCGTCCTTTGCCAAACTTGAGACCGCATTCTACGCACGGACAAGGTGCGCGTCAACGCGTCATAATGGCAGAGAGATGTGATGATTCTTGTAATCTACACCTCATCTATTTTCTCACTAAAGGCAGCACTTATTGGCTTTGCTGTGGCACTGTGCACGGCAGTTTAACTACAGCGAGAGCTAGAAAAGCATGCTCAAGAATACCTCGGGCTCCTCTGCTCGGTCTTGACTACTGACAATTAATAGAAGGTTTACCTCTCCAGCTTCTTTTGTTCGCGAGCACAGGACTATTGTTGCTTCCCTTAGTTTAAGCCTTTTCCCAAGCTCTCTTACGGTTTCAAATCCAATACCCCTGTTGGCCCCAGTGACGACAAAGATGCGCCTAGACATGTTGAGTGACGCGATGACTTTCCACGAAGGGAATTTTTGCAGTAAAAGTAATGAGTTTCTGATGGGCGAAAATTTTGTGAAAGATTCCAAGTGTGAGTTTGACCGCTCGTTGGGTCACCTACACTTCACCAAACAGCATAACCATGGCAACGAAAAGTTCAAATAGTTTCCACATAGGACAAATCTCTGCCTTCAGCTAACAATGTAAAGCCAAAATAATCTGAATTCGGAAATTTTTCTACGGCTCTGTCGTTAAAACAGAGCCGTAGCCGGGAAAGTGTACCCGGGAAAGTTTACGAGCTGTGGCTGGTCAGCCCCTCAAAGTGACCATCTCAACAAACAGTGCTGCAAGCGCAGTTCCATCTGCCAGTTCCGCCCCAAGCCTATAACTTTCAGATCTTTTCAAGCTAATTGGATGCTGACGGGAACTCGTTTTGTGCCAGACTTTTGCTCGCAGTACACACCCACGCATGGACGAGTGCCTCAACAAATGCGTCCCCAAATGGAGGGGAATAAAGTGGGATGACCTGATCTTCAGGCGAATCATCAGAAAAGGCGAATGCCTGACTTCCGGAGGGCGCCCACAGGGGAACAACCGTGCATTGAGCACATGTTGACATGCTCTACTGTGAAAAGCTCTGGAATATTAACATGCACAGTATGAGTTGAAGCAAACAGCACGTTGTGAGCTGACTTGTGGGGAGCCTGGCCCACATAATCTACATATGCGAAATTGAAAAATGAGGTATCATTTTAGGAGGGGCAACCGCATTGCGCAGTCGCATAGGACAAACAACGCTAAACTCTGAACACCTCACAGCAGCACGGAGCATCCGCACTTGCAACGGGAAAGCTTAGGCAGCAACAGCGGCTGGAACTTTGGAAGGACTTCCGCTGCAGCATTGGGTAAGTAGATAGCCTGCACATTCAGTATGTGATCAATGACATGCAACGCGTGCCAATCGGCCTCCGAAGACGCATGATCTGTGGCTTGAAAGGTTGGTGCGAACTTCCCATCATTAAGCCAGGGATCCCGTTGACCTCCAATTGGCTCTCCACGCGGCAGCCAAATGCATCCACTTCCATCCGTAGCCGAGAACTCACTACTCTTCGTACGACAAACATACTTTGGGCACAAGGCTGCAAAGGGCCCCCAGAGAAGAGAAGCTGTGACGATGCCTTCTTCCACAAGTGTGTGGAGAAGAAACTGCACTTCGCAGTCATCTAGTAGACAAAGCATTCCTTGGAGCTGCTGGGCCGTGCTCCCAGGTCTTTGGATCAGCAAGGACCATAATCTCAGGCACAGCAGCTGCACCAGTGAGGCGTGCAGACGGCCGTCCAGTCGCACCCATGCACACGCTGGGAGCCATTCTTCAACCAACCTCATGGGCGTTAAGATTTCGTCTACAGTCGCGGTTTCGATAGAAGCTGTGTTGTCAGGCTCATTTGCTGCAGAAAAAGAGCGCCGCTCTGTTCCTACATCAACCCACGTTAGCAGGGCGCTGTAAAAAGAGCTGGTAATCTCGGCCTGCCGGCTATCCTCCGAAGCGCCTTCTTCGCCATGCGAATGTGGCACAGTGCCAACGATCAGATGAGAACCGCATTTTATATCCGCTCCTGGCGAAGACGAAACACTTCCGTCTTCGTGCTGTCGAACCTGGCATTGGCTATTGGCACTCTTTGAGCCCCACGCTGCCAAAATGGCTCGGGGGATCATCGCAGGTCGGGTTCTTCCCTTCTCCTGGCAGCGGCCACAAGGCTCAACCACACCTCCGCAACTGTTGTCGCCTCCCTCGTCAGTTTCCCGTGATTGCGGGAACAAACCTGATGAATCCGCCACAGGCAAACTCTCCACAGCCTGAATTGCCTCGTTTGAGGCTCCATGTAACGCCCAGCGAACTGCGAGCGGATCGCGCACAATGGGCTGTTCTCTAAGACAAAAATGGGAGGCAGCATCGGCAGCAGCCACCAACCGCCAGCTGACTCCTGCAGGAACTGGTACCACAAGTCGTAAGGAACACAGCACCGAAACGGAGACCAGAAACAACTGACTAGCACACGCAGCTGCGAAGCGTTTCGTCTCCAAGTCTTGGTCATCGCCCGCAGCTCCTATGATTGAACTTGGTGGGCGCCTTGTGGGAGCTCTGTGATGAGTGCGTGGCGTATGCTCGTCGTTTGTTCCTAGTCCCAGCTTACATGCAGCTCTCCTAAAGTAAAGACAAGAAGCGGTTCGCAAATCTGCAAGCTGCACAGGCTCTCTGCCGCTCCCAGCTCCTGGGTCAGCTGCTGTCTCTCTTGACAGATCAAGGAGCAGATCTGGCACAGCCGCGCCGTCCACTTTCGCTCTGAGTACGCAGCTAAGCAACCAAGCAGGACACAAGGCCAGAGCCACGCAAACCGTCATGTCCTTATAGTCATCATCTACCGCATGCTGGACATCTGGAGTAGTGCTTTGCGCAGGAACAGCAGCAGCCGTTGCAGCGACAGCTACGCGGCAGAATGCAAGTTCCTTCTCAGCCACCTCGTGAAGCTGCTGAGCAGCCTGTGCTTGGGGTGGCGTAGGAAGCAGTGGCAACAACTCGTGCATTTGAATCCGCAGCGCTAGACGAGCTGTTCCCTTCACAATCTCTAGTAAAGGTGCAGGTAGCTGGTAGTCACCACTTGGCGGTGAGCCACGCCCACGGATGCCCCGCTCCTTGGAAGGAAAGTTCTGAGGTCCAGAGGTGCCTCGCAGGTAGTTCATGAAAATCTTGAGCGGCCCATCTCCTTTGTGCTCTCCTTCCGTAGCGGAGCAGAGGGCTTGCTGGGGGAGTATGACGGTAGGATTCGAAAAGGCTGCCAGTGGTGGTACGGGTACGCAAGTACGGTCCCTCTTTGTCATCACATTGGGTGGGGAGTCGAGACTTTCTGCCATTCTTTTAAGCTGGGATCTGCCACCGCACGTCGAATTGCACAGACAGCCGGGAGGAGCAAAGGCTTCAACAGCTTTTGCAGCGAATCGCCAGTTCTGCCTGTAGTCATCTGCATAAGTGGGGAGAGACACCGGAAAACCACCAGGCAGTCCGGGCCTGAGAAGTCGAGGCACGCTTTCGAGAGAATCCGCATCTGCCTCTGTATTGCCTGTTTCTTCAAGGAAACCAAAGGAGGCAGCTGCACATGCAGTACGGTCCGTGAGGACAGGGGGCAGCAGCGACGCGTCAAAAGCATCTAGCTCCCCAGATGCGCCAAAGATTCCATCGGCAAAGTGGCTTGCGGGGGGAAGCTCCGCTGTATCTCTTCGGGGATAGCGGAAAGCGCCTCTTACATGCATTTCCTGATGCTCTGCTGTTTGCAAAGCAGGCTCCGTAGGCCTAGATGGCGCCGCGGGGCCTCCCTCTAGCGCTAGCCTCAGTTCTTGGCATAGCCTTCCAATCCCAGAAATGGAGCCGACCTCTTCTTGAGACGACCTGGGCACCTCTGTCGGATTTAAAGATGGCTCAGCAAGTCTTACTGTTGCGTGAGCTGCCCTCAGTTCACGCGGGATTGATGATTTCAAGAGAGAGCAGGTGACAGCCGTAATCTCAGGTACCCCTGCAGCATGCGCAGTGATGTGTGTCTCGATGCCCCCCTCTGTTGGCTTCCTTCCAGGCCTTTCCTCTGCAAGCGGCTCTCCTGAATCGTCTCCACGGCTGAGTGAGATGGCACTTAGCCACTCCGGTACATTATTCCAAAGGCCATCTTCTTCCCGCACAGCATCCTGCACAGTATTCAAATGTACACACTGCTGTAACCGCCCATTCACCACTCTTTCCCACCACAACTGCTGCTGTGAAACCGAAAGCCATCCTGAATGCCACTATCGACCGAGCAACCTGCTGGTTAGACTGGGAACTGGCAAAGTGCCAGATGGGCTTCTTAAAAGACAATGAGCAATGGGCCTTCTTGCGGAAGAACAGCCTCAGCAGCCAACCGTATCAGCATGCAAAAAATTCCACGCGACTCCAGGCGCAGTAGCTTGAGGTAGGAGGACAAAATGCTCTTGCGGTGACTACTGTTATTGTACAATGCAGAAGTATAGACTCACCAGTGGGTCCTCTTCCTCCAAAAGCTTTAGCAGCTCCGCGTCAGCTGCAGCCTCTGGCGAATCCGGGAGGTAGCCCTCCTTTCCCCAGAAAGGAGACAACCACAGCGTGCCCCTAGCTAGGCCTTCCAGAGCAGCAAGTGCTTCGCAACCGGACACGTCTGGACCCAAGGATACTGCCACCCTACCGGCGACTGTAGCGGCATCGCTTTCCGAGTCCGCTAGCAGCTGAGCCGTAACAGGCCCTGTCAATTCTCCAGCCACTTTGTTCTCTGCTGAGGCAGAGAACTCGCCAGGTTCGCCGGGGATCGACAAGCATTCAGATGGAGGCGGCTGCAGACGGGCGCTCTCGAGCAGCTGAAGGAGCTGGAAGTCGCCTTCGTTGGTCTCACCACGGCTTTCATCGAGGGCAGGCCCTTCTTCAAGAGTTTGCCCTTCTTCCTGTGCCAACTGGGCCAGAAAGATATCATGTGGCAAATCGTCTGTACCCTGGCTTCCAATGTGACGAGCGGCAGCCGAAGAGGAGCATGCAGTGGCCCTGCCTGCTAGTTCCCCTGTGCTGGCTGCACCTTTCGGGGTAGAATTGCCGTGAGATGAGAGAGGCGAAGCCAGCTTCCTTGGTGTCAGCTCCAACGTGGAATGAAGAAGAGAGGACATGACACGGTAGTCCCACAGCCGCCCAAAAAGTGAGAGTCGCGAGGAGCTGCGCATCGCCAGAAAATCAAATGTAGCGGCAGGCAGATGGAATTCGGCTTTGGCACTACGTACAAGGGGAAAAAGAAGACGACACGGAAAGTGGTGAAAGTATATTACAGCTTCAGCTGTGTAGAAAAAATAGGCAGAAAAAACACGTCCCAGTATTTTACCTGCTCAGGACGAAAGGGCGACGGCATTTGGCCTCGAGGGCTACGGCTATTTCCGGCTTTTTGTAGACGTGTAA